AAAATCTTCCTAAAGAAAATCTTCCTAAAGAAAATCTTCCTAAAGAAGAAAATCTTCCTAAAGAAAATCTTCCTAAAGAAAATCTTCCTAAAGAAAATCTTCCTAAAGAAAATCTTCCTAAAGAAAATCTTCCTAAAGAAAATCTTAGAAAATCTTCCTAAAGAAAATCTTCCTAAAGAAAATCTTTCTGAAGAAAATCTTCCTAAAGAAAATCTTCCTAAAGAAAATCTTCCTAAAGAAAATCTTCCTAAAGAAAATCTTCCTAAAGAAAATCTTCCTAAAGAAAATCTTCCTAAAGAAAATCTTCCTAAAGAAAATCTTCCTAAAGAAGAAAATCTTCCTAAAGAAAATTTTCCTAAAGAAAATCTTCCTAAAGAAAATCTTCCTAAAGAAGAAAATCTTCCTAAAGAAAATCTTCCTAAAGAAAATCTTCCTAAAGAAAATCTTCCTAAAGAAAATCTTCCGAAAGAAAATCTTCCTAAAGAAAATCTTAGAAAATCTTCCTAAAGAAAATCTTCCTAAAGAAAATCTTCCTAAAGAAAATCTTCCTAAAGAAAATCTTCCTAAAGAAAATCTTCCTAAAGAAAATCTTCCGAAAGAAAATCTTCCTAAAGAAAATCTTCCGAAAGAAAATTTTCCTAAAGAAAATCTTCCTAAAGAAAATCTTCCTAAAGAAAATCTTAGAAAATCTTCCTAAAGAAAATCTTCCTAAAGAAAATCTTCCTAAAGAAGAAAATCTTCCTAAAGAAGAAAATTTTCCTAAAGAAAATCTTCCTAAAGAAAATCTTCCTAAAGAAAATCTTAGAAAATCTTCCTAAAGAAAATCTTCCTAAAGAAAATCTTCCTAAAGAAAATTTTCCTAAAGAAAATCTTCCTAAAGAAAATCTTCCTAAAGAAAATTTTCCTAAAGAAAATCTTCCTAAAGAAAATCTTCCTAAAGAAAATCTTAGAAAATCTTCCTAAAGAAAATCTTCCTAAAGAAAATCTTCCTAAAGAAAATCTTCCTAAAGAAAATCTTCCTAAAGAAAATCTTCCTAAAGAAAATCTTCCTAAAGAAAATCTTCCTAAAGAAAATCTTAGAAAATCTTCCTAAAGAAAATCTTCCTAAAGAAAATCTTCCTAAAGAAAATCTTCCTAAAGAAAATCTTCCTAAAGAAAATCTTCCTAAAGAAGAAAATCTTCCTAAAGAAAATTTTCCTAAAGAAAATCTTCCTAAAGAAAATCTTCCTAAAGAAGAAAATCTTCCTAAAGAAAATCTTCCTAAAGAAAATCTTCCTAAAGAAAATCTTCCTAAAGAAAATCTTCCTAAAGAAAATCTTCCTAAAGAAAATCTTAGAAAATCTTCCTAAAGAAAATCTTCCTAAAGAAAATCTTCCTAAAGAAAATCTTCCTAAAGAAAATCTTCCTAAAGAAGAAAATCTTCCTAAAGAAAATCTTCCTAAAGAAAATCTTCCTAAAGAAAATCTTCCTAAAGAAAATCTTCCTAAAGAAAATCTTCCTAAAGAAAATCTTCCTAAAGAAAATCTTCCTAAAGAAGAAAATCTTCCTAAAGAAAATTTTCCTAAAGAAAATCTTCCTAAAGAAAATCTTCCTAAAAAAATCTTCCTAAAGAAAATCTTCCTAAAGTAGAAAATCTTTCTACAGAAATGATTTACTCCTTTCTACAGAATGATTTACTCCTTCAAAATACACTATCCTCACTTCGTGAGTTACAAATTAAACATAGAAAAAGAGAAAGATCAAACCAGGAAGATTTTCTTTAGGAAGATTTTCTTCTTCTGAGTCATGATCTACTTGATTGGGCAGACAAACGTCATAACTTCTAGATATGGGTATAGCCATCCCTAAAGAAAATCTTCCTAAAGAAGAAAATCTTCCTAAAGAAAATCTTATATATGGGTATAGCCATCCCTAAAGAAAATCTTCCTAAAGAAGAAAATCTTCCTAAAGAAGAAAATCTTCCTAAAGAAAATCTTCCTAAAGAAAATCTTCCTAAAGAAAATCTTCCTAAAGAAAATCTTCCTAAAGAAAATCTTCCTAAAGAAAATCTTGAAAATCTTCCTAAAGAAAATCTTCCTAAAAAAATCTTCCTAAAGAAGAAAATCTTCCTAAAGAAAATCTTCCTAAAGAAAATCTTCCTAAAGAAAATCTTGAAAATCTTCCTAAAGAAAATCTTCCTAAAAAAATCTTCCTAAAGAAGAAAACCTTCCTAAAGAAAATCTTCCTAAAGAAAATCTTCCTAAAGAAAATCTTCCTAAAGAAAATCTTCCTAAAAAAATCTTCCTAAAGAAAATCTTCCTAAAGTAGAAAATCTTTCTACAGAAATGATTTACTCCTTTCTACAGAATGATTTACTCCTTCAAAATACACTATCCTCACTTCGTGAGTTACTGATAGAGCCAAAAAGAGACCGAGCACTACACCGAATGCTGTCGATTGAATCGAGCAGATGATGACCAAATATATCTAAATTTCAATTTAGACTCCGATTTTTAGATTTGAAAAAACAATTAACGAAATTTTTTGAAAAAAAATTCAATTTTTTGAAAAAAAATTTTGAAGGAAAATACTCACTGTGATTACTGTCACGCCTGCGCCTATCGATATCAATGTGATTGCCTCTTCAGTCAGGCTGGAGTCGCTTGCTCCACATCCACTTGGTTATGAAATATATAGGTTTCGTTGAGCTTATCTACAAAGTGTTTTTAAGACGATTTCAGACCAAAGTGCCAGAAATGAGATGATTTATGAAACTGACTCACCAATGGACCTGGCTTCAGATGTGCCGTTCTATCGCCCTCCAACCGACGCGGCTTCTTCCTTTTCTCCTTCTGGTCTTCGTAGAACTGAAATTGCTGTTTTTGATAGAAATTCAAATTCGAATAGAGAAAAAGAGCACGAAAGCGATATAACGCAACGAATGGATGAGCTGAATAATGTGGGAAACTAGTCTGGTGGAAATTATGATAAATTGAACTTTTAGATATTCTCCCGTGCATACCACGGCTTGCGAAAACAGAGAAAAGACGGAGATGAGGAATTCGAGAAAAATTTAGAAGCAGCAGAGCTAGCATTGAAGAATCTTTTGACACCTTCAAACAATCATGGCTTCGTAACTCGCGTCGACGGCAACAAAGCATCTAAAACTGCACGCGAAGCGATGCATTCGCCAGCGCTCAAAGTTAGAAGCAAAAAAAAATATTTAGAAAAAATGTTTTTTAGGCTCGAAAACCAGCGAAAAAAAGCCACAACGTCTCGACTACTGTCTCTCTGATTCCAAAAAAGAAATCTGATAAACTGCAGTGTTTGTGGAGATGTTAGCTTCAAAATTTAATTTTAATATAGCTCAACTGCTCTGAATTCAGACTGATCCGCCACTACCACCAGATGTACATTCATTGGAATATGAGAGCCAATACACAGATTGAAAAAGATGTTCGCTTTGCTTGCAGCCAGCTCATTTTTCATGCACGCTGAGTAACAAATCGTGTATGTGTTCTCCACACTCCCAATCCCAGCTCTATCCAGCAAATTACCAGGAAGAAGTGGATTCAGATGAAATGGCAGACTGAATTAATTTTTTATATAAATTTCAAAGTTTTTTCAAAGTTTCATTTTCGGTCAGACTGATTTCAAATAAATTTTTGCAAAAAAAGCTTCTGAAGTATCTTCGAAAAAGAGGAAAAACATTGTGAAACGCGACAAAAAATAAGTAAATAGCTAGTTTATTGTTTGAATCTCGCGCGGAAATGAGTGTGCAGTAGAGCGCGCTTTTAAATCTTCCAAATAATGTCGGATATTTACGTTAGAGTAACAGGACCGGACCACTAAAAAACTACATTTTCTGTCTTCATTCTGTCAATCTGAAATTTATGTTTCAAAAGCCACTATTGAAGGTTTTCATCGCATGATCTGATCTCGTGCTAGTTTGAAATGTTGAATCTGTCATGAGATTTGTATTAGAACTTATCGAGCCCCAAAATACTCTTTATCAGAGCTATTGTTTTCGCTAATTTTCGCTTGCTGACTTTTTAAAAACATATTTCAACTTTAGTTTGTTTGAATCGGATAAATTTATATAAAAATTACAAAAATCAATAAATAAAATATTGAGAATTATCCAGATATGGCACAGGTGTGGTGAAGAAGGGAAGAAGATCAGTCGTTGGATGATTTACTGAAAATTAGAAAATATTATTAATTCCTCATATTCCAAATACATATATAACACCGTTTAGTAAAATGTACAGTTTGAAAAATTTCAGTGAGAAATTGTTAAGTTTTGGGTATACAAAGTGGTTTGAAATTTTGAAATTTTGCTAGATTGGAGAAACAACCGTCCAACGCAATTATTTTTTCATTTGGCAAAAATTTAATATGAGCGATGACCGAAGTCCAGGTTGTGAGTCTTGTAAAGCGAAAAAAATCTAAACGTCACGTTATGTTTGTGTCAATTTCAAACATTTTGCAACGTTGCGCGGAGAAAATAGTTTTCAAATACAAAAATTAAGCGTCATAGTTGTTAACCTATTTCAAGCAAATGCACAGGATTCCAAACCACTTTTTCATACTCAAAATTAATTTTCTCAGCTAACAATTTTCAAGTTATAATATTAAAAAATTCAATAATTATTTACATACCTCATTTTTCGCATCATACATTTCCTGGTATAAGTCACGACATCCCTTCTTCTTTGACGCATTCATGGCTGCAGCCACTTTTCTAGCCTCGACGTGCTCCTTTTTTTGGGATTTCTTGAATGGCGTTGGAACAGTCGCTTTCTTCACCGATAGCAATTCTCCGTTGCGATAGGTAAACATTTTTTTTTCCGCTCACATGGCGGGTACGGGGATATTGGTGTTTGCGTGGCGTTTGATTGTCGACCGTAGCATTTTCAGCGCACTTGGCATTTTCGGCGATTCTGGCTTTTTCGGCGGACATCTCTACCTGAAGAAAAACCTTTATGAGTGAAGAAAATCAAGTTCGATTCCTAATAAATTTTAATCACGAAAAGAGTGAGAGAGAGAGAGAGAGAGAGAGAGAGAGAGAGAGAAAACATTAAAAATTGAGAAAGATGGAGAAAAGGAATAATGTTCTGGATAATAGTCGATCTGAGGACACTGGATCACTCGTAACCAATTGTTTGTGTCTGTTTGTGTGTGTGAGTGCGTGAGAGCGTAAGTGCATACTGTTGAAAAACAACAACAACGAGAGGGAGGAGACGCAGACAGAGGGAAAGGACATCGGACCATCTAAACACAGCGCAGAGAACACCAGGTGGGCCGTTGCTAGGGGTCACCAAACCAATACGTCTTTAGGAGGAGGAAGAAGAAAATTTGCATACAAACATTTTTCAGATAGCCATTTGGAAAAAATGTTTGCCTGAAACCTAAAATCAAGAACAACAGAAAGTTTGATATATGGGTGCTTCAGGTAGTCACTGCTAGCGATTTTTCTCGTCATGCAAATCAGATTCACAGTACGAGAATGCATTACATATCCACATTTGAGTCGGAAGTAACTTTTTCCTCGAAATCGGAAGCCGATATTGAAATTCTGGGAAAATAACATCGTTTATGAAATTGACGCTAATTTGATAATTTTTGATTGCAATGCTTCTGCAAAAAGTTCGAATTGCCCTGTAAATTTTTTCGCCAAACTTGGTATAATAGAATCGGAATTCGTGGTGCCTTCTAAAAAACACAAATGTGACCAGCAACGGAAATGTTACAATAATTTGTTAATTTCACTCCGAATCTCTGCATTGCTCTGAAACTTCCAGATTACAGGGTGGGGATTAATTATTGAGCCGCAACTTTGAGCATGCTCTGGCGCCTGCAGAACGGTATACATTGCACACGTTACTATTTTTCTGAAATACTCTCTCGTTTTAAACTATTTCTGAAAGTTTCAGTCAGTTATGTCAATTTTTAGTCGTCAAAGCCGTAAGAGAGAAAATCAGGTGGAATCCCGAAAGGAGCATCAGAAAGATGGCGTCGTAGCTCAGAATCTGTCCCAAATAGATGAGAAATATTTTCCAGAACAAGCTTCATATGATTCCGTATCGAATCCAAAAAGGTGCCTTCCTAACGGACCGTAACAAGGGGTTACAACTGAAAAAATCCAAATATTCTTTCGAGGCACGCGCACGGCACGCACTTGAGGGGCAGTGTCGAAGATGAAAAGTTGTTCACTATGAAGGAGATGGAAAATCCAAAATAAGAGATCTCACTCGGCCGTGGTGATCGCATTTGTTGAGACATGCTCAAATCGTGAAATTTCTTCGATTTTGGAGACAAAAACAACAAATAATACTACAACAAAATGTTTTTGAAGTCGGAGGTGCTGCTCTGGTCCCAATCACGTCTTGTGAACGCCAATTGGGCACTCCAACATGAAAACGTGCCTGCCCACACTACAAATCTCACACAGCAGTGGTGACAAGCCAATTTCAGGTTTTTACCACTAAGGATCAATGGCCAGCTTCCAGCCCGGTACTCAATCTCATGAACTTTTCGTTATGGGAATATTGGACTCAATAAGTCTCCACAAAAATTAACCTCATTTGAAAGCCCTGATTAGATCCTTGGCCGCGGCATGGGACAATTTTGACGTCAAGTAGCCCCGTGTCGTAGTAGACTCCTTGTTGAAGAGACTTTGAGCTGTTATTGAAGCGAACAAAGGAAAGCTCAAAAATTGTTAATGCCATCTTTTTTGTTATTTCTTAATGAACATCTTGGCTGGATTTCATGAAAAAATCTTTTGATTTGAGGTTTTTACACCATCTTGAAAGCGGCGCAATAATTAATCCCCACCCTGTATAATGAAAATTAGTTTTCAAACAAATTTCGAATTTTTTTCTGATGTGATATACCGTTGTGCAATTAAAAAAAATTTGAAATGCCAAAATCTGTGACTCAAGCGAAAGAAAAACTGAAAAACGTCAAAATATGATATATTTTTCTGTCTGGGACTGTTGCTCTGATGAACGTATCATCGAATATATTTTGAAACCAATAGGCAAAAAATAATTATGCCGTTTAAATTGTATTCTTGTTTTGTTTCAGCTCTCGTTAATTGATATACATCACTGTCAGTTTTGATTCCGTTCTCTCAAATTCTCACTTTCATAATTTCGAGCTTTTTTCAAATGATCTCTTTTTCAATAAAAAATTCGCTGAACTTTTGCAGAAGCAGTGTACTTTCCTACAAGTATCAAGGCGTGGTTTTACATCAGTCTTGATCGTCATTGGATCTCAATGAATAGTTTTCCATTCAATTTGTCATATCCTTTGCCAACAAAACTCTGAAAGATTAAAAAAAATTTAAAGCCGGTGTGAAATGTCGGAGATTACTTGCAAAATATGAACCGATCTTTCCGGAACAACATCAGTTTTTTTTCATTATACGTAGCAGATCATTTGATTCAGTTGCACGAAATCAAAGGTGTTTTTAATGATTCGGTCAGTGAGCTTTTGAAAAATTGAAACGTTAAAAGAAAATTTTTTCACTTCTGTTATAAGGTAAACACTGTAACAGAAGGCCGTCCTATACTTGCTTTTTGAGGCTCCTAATCTCGGTTTCTGTAACAGATATCATGAAGTCTGGCAAAATTATGTCGATAGTATAATAAACAAATTATCAGTTGGCTACTTATTGCTATCTCTCACAGGGACCGGGATATATGGTCTCAAAGTGCAAGTAAAAGGTAGCCTTTATAGTGTTTACAGGTTTTTTTTCATTCAAATTCCAAACTAAAATTCCTTAAATATCTGGAAATTCAAGTATTTAATGTGATATCAGCTTATTCTCTTATACTAATTTCTGAATTCTTTAATATATCCCAAAAATATACGTAGATTCTTAATTAATTATGACGTCAGTTTCCAGGGAGATACTTGCTTGCAAATTGAACGGATACTAATTTATCGTTTCAAATTTTGAACTAAGTAATTTTCAATGATTCATGTGTGGCTTAAATTAGATTGAGCGAGGGCGTGTGAATTGATAAAAATTAGCAAATGATAATACATGTTTCATACTGCTTATGTGTGTAGTTCGTCCAAAAACTGAGAAACAACAAGAGCATTTATTACTTTGAGTGAAGAAGATGGGAAAGGTGAAGATGAATTGAGAAAATGATACATTATTGATGAATAGTTAAAGTTGGTTCGTCCAATAGAGCGGCTGGTGTGTCGGTTACTTCTTCTTTCCAAAAGCGCCGGAGAAAAATCTGGAAAAGATCTTAAATTTTTCAAAACTTCCAAAAAGAATTGATTACCGAGGATCATCAATATCAGATCCGCGTTTGTCGTAAATGGTGTACCTATGCAAATCGGCAAGGGAGGGGAGCATCATTCGTTTTCCAAAGGACATCGACATCAATCTAGAAACATGAAACTTTAGAATGGAAAAGGTTAAAAAGTGATGTTTACCTTGGGTCATCCAGCTCGTCAAAGCTTCGTCTCTGAATTCTAATGGCACGGTAGCTGTTTGGGATCACTTCTGGTTCCGATTCGTCAAGTGCGCCGCTCGATCTCTTGCCAAACGACGATGTGAACATTCTGAGAAAAAAGTATGTACTTTGAAACAAAAATGGTTGTGGTGTATTTTATCTTACCTTGGATCGTCGAAGTCTGCTCGCTTGAGATATCTGAAAAAAAAACATAATCAAAAGAACATTTTTTATTGTCTAAATTGATTTTTCAATGTTTCAAATTGGGTAAAAGCGGAAACAAAATGATCTTGAGAAACCCGGAAATCTAATACCTCTAGTGGTGTTTGAAATTTGAATCAAATGATGCATGAAGTAATAAATTACGAAAAGCTGAATTAGCTAAAAATTACACTTACCGAGTGGATGTGGAATTTTGAACGAAAAACAGAACCACAACAAGCAAAATGGCCTTGATGTACATGATTACCACTGCAATAGTTAAACCAATAATAATACCGTAAACATTCTAAAAGAACGACACCCATATTGTCAACTTTGGGCACATATATCTAATTTCTTGTAAAAGATATCAAAAAATAGTCAACTGACAAAATGTGCGCGATTATACCAGCAACATTTTATTAATTAACCACTTTTTGATATACTTTACAGAAAATGAGATACATGGGCTGAAAGTTGATTGTTTAATTTGTTTTTGAGAGTTCTATCAGAGTTTTTACTGTAATCATAAAGTACAGAAATAAAGATCACCATAAAAAGAGAAAAAGTTGTTTTAAAAGTTTCAAATAATTGAAAAAAAAGTTAACAAAAATAGAAAGAAGAAGTAGGTAGAGGCGGGGGAGGACCTATGAAGAAAAAAGAAGTGACAGGTGGGAAAGTGAAAAATTGTTGGAAGGTTAAGTCAGAAAAAGGAGAGCAAGTGATTGATAGGCCTCGCGCACTGAGAGCACACTGATTGAAATGAAATGAAGACTACTAACAAGAAAAATGGGGCGGAGCTTAATGGTGCCCCTCCCCACGCTCATACCACCTTGTAATCCTCCATTGGACGAGATTAGTTTCGAAAATCGTTGAACTACTACTTCTTCATTTCAGCAGCATCCTGACGACAAAGAGCCTCTCTTGTGTCGGGAGAGAGAGGAGAAGACAAAGTGGGCGGAGCTTTAGTATGCCTCCTTTCAGCTGTATACAGGGGATAGGAAGAAGAGGGGATGAGTGAAAACGATTGACATCATGTCGTAAATCTTTGTACCAAAAAAGCAAGAGGATGCGGATGGAACACACCCTGTCATCCCAAAAAATTAAATTGGTGATCCATCAGCTTCACTCTCTAACACCATTTTGTTATTTTGCCGAAAAATTGAAATGTTCTTTTTTTTGTCAAAACCTCATCAACAATTTCAAGGTTCAGCGAAAATGGAAATTGCTTTTTTTTTTCTTTATGAAAGATGTAAAAATATAAAAAGTGAAAGTGGATTTTAGCCAGAATCTAGTGGAATCTAAAAAAAATGGAACACTTGAGACCAAAAATATGCTACTACTTGTTCAGAAGCGTGGGTTCTAGAAGTGCCAAAACAATTATAATGGATGGAGGGGACAAAAAAAGATGCAAAAATTGTTTGTCGTTCTGAAATATCAACTGAAAACGCTCATAGTTGCTTTAAGAATGGTCTAAATACCTGTGGAGCTGTATTTTATTGTTTTGATGCGATCAAAAAATCAGAAAAATAATTAAATTCAGTAAAAATTTGTCTCCCTTGAATCTAATTTTTCTCACTAATAATTAGTTATCTCATTTCTTGAACATGTGTTTGTTACTCAAATTAAAATAAATATTTCAAGGAAAATTCTAAATCTAATTCAATTCAAAAAAGAAAAAAAACAGAAATATAAAGGACGACTCATCTTCAATCTCTATGTTTAGCACTACGCTTTTCTTATTTATCCCCACCCTCACAAGGATATAAAAACCCCAGGAATACGAAGAAGAAGGAATTGACAATTCTGGGATTAAATATAGATATAGAGTTGAAGGATATATGAATTACTAAGTACTTCATGTGACCCAAGCATGATGAGTCTACCAGTGTGGGTGTCGACGTCTCCAGAAATTTCCATTTGGCGCAATTGGAATAAAATACATTATTATTATTACGTAATTGGTGTCATTTGCACTAATTCTCTGCAAACCTCTGATGACAAGTGCTTCATTGATGGTTTTTACACTTCCTTCCATCTATTCAACGCCTCTTTTACAAAATGAAGACGTAAAAGAGTCTAGAAGGGGAAATAATAAGAATTTAATCTCTTTGAAGAAAAGAACATGGCGAAAAAAGGGGGAGAAATGCTTTTAAGCATTCAAACGTGAAATTACTTTTTCTCCCCTCCCAAAGCAAAATAAAGCAAAAAAGTGATGATTTTTGAGTTTCCCTTTTTTTTTGAAGTCATTTTAAGAAATGAGTGACTTTCAAACAATCGTCTAGACTAATGGACAAACCACTTCTTTTTAAGTAGAAACTAACTGGGATAAAACAAAACAAGGAAATAATAAAAAAGAGGGACTCACTTACCAGCATTGAATATTCATTGTCATCTTGATATTTTGAATTTTCAACGGGATTAATTTTGAGAACTATACTATTGAAACCTTACGAATTTTGAGAAGACCTAGAATTGGAACACGGAATGAAATTTGGAAATTTCAAGAGAGATTAGTATAAGGATTAGGCAGCTCTGAACTACTACGAAGAAACCCGTAAGTCTTGTTTACTTGTGTGGTCCTTTTAGACCTCAGAATCTATAAATTATGATAAATAGGTCATAATGTGGTTCATGGAAATCAGTCACGCTCTGGAAGATATTTCAAAGAACTGAAAAAAAAACTACACGGTATTTTAGGAGCAGCTTTTCATAAGACATTCAAAACCTAAAGTACATGGATGAATAGGAAAATAGTTGCCCCTCTTGTTTTCATTGTCAAAGCAACCTCGAAATCTTGTAAACCCGGATTTTATGCATTTGTGCAGGATAGGTTGGAAAAAACCTGTCTAGGCACGTCTGAAAATTTTGGAATATGTTCGCCAGTTTCAACCGAGTTATATCAGTTATAGTACCAAAAATTGCCTTTTCCGTGCAAAACAGCAATATTCAAAAACGACGTTCTCCATTTTTAGGGTGTTTCAAGGCATAGAATTAGCTTTGCTGTATTGAAAATTGAGAGCATTTTCATATTTCAGACATTTAATGGGAAAAAAACGATTTTTTTCCTTTTCAAATTTTTTCACAATTTTCAGATTTTTTCGAAAATTGAAAAAAATTTAAATTTTTGAGAAAATGTTTGAAATTTGAAATTCCATTCAATCCTCAGTAAAACAGAACACATTTCTTGTTTTTAAACGTCCTAGAAATAGAGAAAATCGGTTATGAAAATTGCTGTTTTGCACCGAAAAAGCGATTTTTGCGACAGAAACAGATATATAACTGGTGAGAAGATTCTAAAACTTCCAGAAATATCTAGATAGGCTATTTCCTCGAATTTTGTTAAATCTGGGTTTGCAAGGTCTTGAGATTTCCTTGTGAGGCTTACAGTATTCTGGAAAACAGCTTTTCTCGAGGTATCCAAAATGTGAAGAGCGGGGGTTGAAAAAAAGTTCTTTCTTTTCTTCAAATTCCAAAAAATGGATGAAAAAGTTAACTTCAGTCACACAAAGACTTCCCAATTCCTCATTCATTAATCGGTATGAGATAGTTTCTGACTACTACAAAGAGAGTCTTCTAGATTCTTTTCTTAAAAGCTATAAAGTCTAGCAAAATTTCCGTAAAAATTCAAAAACAACTCTGAATACTTTTGTAGCATAGCATCCTTAAAAACACTCTCTAAAATCAAAACATTTGTAGTGTAAAGTGAAGCAGCATTTTGAACACAACAAAATGATTCTCCTCTTACTTGCCTTCTGTCTTTTAGCAGCAAAGGAATCTCCGGATCAATTATTCAATTTTTAGTGGCCAGTGCCAATAACAAAAAAAATGGGCACATAACCATCGAGAAGCTGACATACCAAAAAAGAAATAAATGAGAAGATATCTATGAGAAAAACAAAACAAAAGAGAAAGGTTTTGAGTTGTAGTTGAGCGGAAGAGGTTGAAGTTGTGATACAATAGAAAGAAAAAAAACTATATATGTACACCCGGGAGAGGAGAAGAAAAAAGATGAAATCTGACTATCCTAGACAGAATCCTTATACACTTATACTCCTCAATCCGAGGGCTCGGCACGCGTAGATGAAGCCTGTCGCACATCCGTGTTCATCTCGCCCGGCCACCTGAATTTCGAAATTGGACACAAATTCTTGTAAATTTGGAAGACGTCATCTATACTCGAGAACGTGAAATATGGAATTGTTAGGATTCCTCCTCTTCCTACACTAGTGAAGTATTTTGAGATTATCTGCCCGCTTAATCGGGTCGTGTCCCAGTCATACCTTATAGAAACAACGGCAAGATCCGTCAAGGGATAATCCTGGATAGAGCATCTTGCACGATGAGTCGTGCTCAGCCGACTGTTGACCGTCCGTGAACGGATTTAGCACACGACAATTATACGTTGGACCTGCATATCTACCAGTGTGGATGACCACTGGCTTTGGTTGAGATCTGTTGATAGGATCCACATGACTGAAAAAAATGAAAGAAATAAAAATGGAACAAAAAATGAATCTCTACATACGCAGGGGCCACAGTTCTGCCAACAGTTTCTTGTAGTTTTCTGATTGGTTGCTTCCAATTTTGATTTTGATTGAATCGTGGTGGATGACGAGGCCTACAAAACACATCATAAAAGTTTAGCCAATGGTCCCAATTTTTTATGTATTTCATTTTCGATGAGTAGAGAGAATAGACTTTGTTTGTTTTGGCGATGAAGAGTAAAAATTCCGGGAAGATGATGTTAGAATACTTATAAGAAAGGATGATAATGACTTTCGATTTTTGTGTAAGTATCATCTGGATGATTTCATGACAAACTATGCACTGTTTGAATTCGAAGGAACAGAAAAGGAGCGAGGGAATTTCAAAATAGTTGAATTTCTGTTTTCGAAAATTGAACTGTTAGCCTTAATTTCAAATCAACTCATCTACCGTAAACGCTCTTAAAGAAGGTCACCCTTTACTTGCACTTCGAGCTCAATTACCTTTTTTGAAAACCAATTTAATCTAGCCTTGACAAAATTTCATATTTTCGCAAATTCATATTTTAACCTTGAAACGCAAATTTCGAAATCAGAGCAGCCCATTTACCGTAAACACTGTTGTGGTAAGCCCCCCCCCCCCCCCATTCTCTTACTTTAAGTTCAATTGTTTTAATTTCCATAATAATTATGAAAAATATGTCAACTGATGAATTGTTGGTGATATTATGACAAACATTTTATTTGTTTGTTATCTCCTATATAAATCAAGATAATTAAGCTCTAATTAAGCTCTAATTTACAGGAGGGCTTTCTATGACTGTTTACGTAATTCTATTTTACGAAGCGTTCCCAGATAAGGCGATTTGGAAAACCGATTCCATCTATTCTTGACCAAACTCTATACAAATTTTCAGCACAAACGTTTCTTCTTTTCTGACTTCTTCTCATCTCAACTCACCCAGCAACCCATCTGCTAGACGCTGTCGTGGTAGTCTTCCACCATGGCACGAAAGTAGTCGGCGCCTGAGTTGTAGTTCTTCTCGTTGTAGTTGTCGGAGCTTCTGTCGTAGTAGTCGTGACAGTTGACGTTCTTCTAGCCCCAACCCTGAACCCTCTGACAGTCCATTGTCTAGGCGTTGTGAAGGGTCGCGGCGTAGTTGTCGTATCAATGACAACACCACCCTTTCTCCAAATTGGTCCTCGGTTTATGACGGGCTGTAAAAACAATTGTGTTTTTGCTTTGTTTTGTTTTCTTGTCTCCCTCATTATACCGTTTCAGGGGCAGTTGTGGTTGTAGTAGTACTGCTAGAAGTGCGAGGTCTGAAAACAGGAGCTGGCTGTTTGGGGAAAGGACGACGATGACGGCTTAAAACAAGAGGATCAGATCATAAGTTCCTAAAATAATCCAATTACAAAATGCTAGTTGAAGTAGGTGGTGTTATTGTTGTCGTGGTGGCTGCAGTCGTCGTTGTACTAGGCGTGGTAGTATTTTCTGTAGTTGCCATAGGTGTTGTTGTACTCTTCTTTCTTGTGGTAGTTGGTGCAATTGTAGTAGTTGCCTTCAAAAACATGTCATTCAGAACAATACAACCTAATCCTGGATAATCTAGTTAAACCTTTTTGGGCGTCATAGGTGTCGTCAAATAAAATGTGAACTTTTGCTCACGATTACTTATCGTGGATGGGGTGAACCAGGTATCTCCTGCTCTGGTCACAATCGGCACCTGAATAAATCAGATTCCTTTTTTTCTTCATTTTCCCAAATAACCTGTGTGACTCCTCTGTCAGTTCCCAACTTGTAGATATGGAACATGGGAAGTTGATCTATGAATTGATCATATAAATCTTGTTTGTCTGCTGGCTTATCCAAGTCATCCGAGAAATCATAGTCAAACGAATTGGGATTCGTCAACGCGGTTTCATCCACTATCACGATCGCTGGAAATAGAAAATTTCACTTCCCTTTTCTGAGAAATGTTAAAATGCGGATCAAGAAGGGGATTAGGAAATGAAGAAATGATAACAAAAGAAAACTTACGTCCTCTTTTGAATTTCGGAATCTCATGTGTCACATGCTGCTCCTGTCGTTTGACCTTTTCACTTGATACCATAGGAAGTAGAATGAATAGAAAAACGATTTCCAGAAGAAGCATTGTTCTTCGAGTCGAAGGTTCAGCGGGAGGTCCAACTACAAAAGGACACGAGAAGATTGACGAGTGTCTGAAAACAGAATGAATACAATTCGAAGGGGTCACTGTACGATAGATGAAAAATAGGGCGGAGTTATAAATAAAGGGAGTAGAAATCGAGAACGTTCAAAGGGGTATGGAATAGGGGGCCTGAATTAATGGCTATTTTAATTTGATTTGAAAAAAAGAGGAAGGAATGAAAAATGTTCAATGTCAAGTGATCTCGTGTTGCTTTTTTTTCGAGAGGAGAAAGATGATAGAAATAAGATAAATGTTCGAATTTTGATAAGATTTCGACAGTTCAATCATGAGACTTTCTGAGATGGAGTTATGTTCTTTTGATATTTAATACTTACAAAAGATAATGTTTGGTTACGAAGCAACATTTAAAAATTGAAGAAAGTATCACAGTACCCGTCCATAAGATATACAAAACGTTTTTTTCAATTAATTGTCTGTCGTTTTCAGCATTTTGAGGAGTCCGGAGTCATAAATTATAGTACCGGGCAATAAGATATACAAAAAGGTATTTTCGGTCATTTTGACCATTTTCAGGAGTCCAGAGCTCGGGTGCCAAGTTTCCTATCAGTTTGAAAAATTGTGGAAATTGTAAACACACCTAGATTGAAAAATTGCATTCACATAATTTTTTGAAAATTCCTAGTTTCCAGCTACTTGCAGATTTCCCAGAGACACCCCTACATGACCCGTTTTTGTAATGGAAACGTGAAAAAAGCAGATGTCTTTCAGAAACCGGGAAATAGCCTAAAAACTAGGAATTTTTGAAATCCTGCGAATGGAAAGTGTTTAATCTAGGTTTTTTTACATCCGCCAAATTTTTTAAAGTGATGGGAACTTTGACAGCCGAGCTTCCGACACCTCAGAACGGAAAAAAAAATAGCCGAAAATCAACTGAACAATACGTTTTAGCATATCTTATTGACCTGTACTGTAAGTGTCCGCAACACTGACAAAAAAGGTACAGACTTCAAGAAAATTTTCACATCAGATTTTTATCTGTTTTCAGTTTATTTTCATTTTCCTCATTTTATTCCGCATAACAAAATCAAGGAACTAAAATAACACACATGCAATTCCGTAGTATTACTATAAATTTTTTACGTTTTCCCTTTCCAAAAACTTTACGAAAAAAAGAAGAAGAAAACAACATTAAAAACGATTGAAGGCCGGGTGCGTGATGATTTGATAACAAAGTCAGCGAGAATTCGCGGAGGTCGATCTAGAAATAAATGGGCACTGCTTTATGAGTATTCTCAATACGCAATAGGTATATTAAGTACATAAATACCAAAACAGTACAAAATAACCTTGAATTCCAAGTTTTTGGGTGTTTGTGACAGGGAGTCACTGACACGCTTTCTCGAATAACTTTGGCACTTTAATCGACCATCGCATTTGGAATTTTCAACGCTAGTCAAACTTTGGTAACGGTTTTTGTCGGTGTATATGTGGGAATGACCTTTAGAGGTATTTAGAAACGGACAAAGATACGAACAAACCAAATGAGATGTTATCTGTACCTCGCTCAATTGAAATTAAAGAAAATGACCGCGAAAGTAACGGTCTAATGTTAAAAAATAACGGTCTAATGTTAAAACCGTATAGCCAAAAATATATTTGTCAAATATAAAGAACAAAGTTTTGGAAACACAAACATTTCAAACACCGTATTTCGTTAAATATAAGTCCACCCGGTTCGCGTCCACTTTGAACTAAATTATCTTGATCACTGTTAGAGATATCAAATGTTAGTCAACTGATAAATTTTTTATCATAATATCAGCAATGTTTTATTGTTAACAAATTTCTAATATTATTCACACGAAACGAGATAATTGAGCTCTAAGCTGACAGTTTGGGTGGGTTTCTGAAACATTTTTTGTTGAAAAAAGATTTTAAAAATCTTGTGAAAAGTCTTAAGACTACCTTCGAAACTATAAAACACAAAACAATAACCTCTATTCAATCTGAATCTTCTCACGTCTTCTCTATAAGTGGCAATTTTCACGTTAACAGATTCTAAATCTAGATAAAATTATACCACCCGAAAATTAATGACGAAGAAAAACGACAAAAGAAAAGTGTTGTCACTTTTTCCAACAATTTTGATTGATAAATTGTGATTGATAATACACAACAACAACAAAAACACTGATTACAATAACCAGCAGAAGGTGTAATATTCAAAAAATAAAAATCCGACCAAAGCTGTTATAAATGTAACAATATGTTCAGGAAACAAAAAGAAAAAATAAGGGGAAAAGGTTCGACGCTCTCAAGAAGGTACATACTATTTAGGTAGGGTGTAATTAGGGAGTAAGCCAGTTTTCATTTGGGATGTTATTGCAATTGCAAGTCGTCATCGTGAAAAATAGTTATGAGTGGCTGAATGGACAATTCAATTTTTTCATTGAATTTTGAAATGAACTTTTAAAGTACAGTAGAAGAAACAAGTCCTAAGTTGCAGAAAGACCACAAACATTTTTTCTTGCGTAATCCTTGTAATATGATTACGCCTGATTGATAAAATAATTATTATGTCATCCTTCTTTATCAATCTATCCAAATTCAACAACCGGAATTCTCCAATATCATCTGAGAAAAGCACAATCAAATTCAAATCCAGTTTTTTTATTGCATAAACATTTGTCATTTTTTATCAAAAATAGGGAAAAATGAAAAATCAGCAAGATACATAAATGGGATTTTAGGAAAATTAGGCGTTCACTTGACTTCTGTGTTGTGCACGAATGACAGTCCAATCATGATTATTCGCTTCTGTCTGCACTGCAGAAAGACGAGTTGAATCATTTGTTGTTTTCTGAAATTTCAGAATATTTGAAGAATTTTAAAAATTGACAAAAGCACATTTTTAAAGGTTATTGTGTCTGAAACTTGTTATTATGTTCTGTGAACGTTCGTCAAAAATTTTTGGGCCGCTCTTACGCTATTTTTTAACTTCGGAAAATGTACGTTATTGGTCAAACTTCGAAAGCCCAAATTTTGATTTTTTGTTAGGAACGGGAATTAGATATTGGTAAAAACGTGTTCAACAATTTATAAAGTATTTGTGTTCCAATTTTCAAAAAATTCTGAAAAACCTTATCGAAAACTTACCTTCATAAGAAAATCCTTCTGTTTTCTGTACATTCTCTTGTACATTTTGTTCAACAACGCCTTCACCAAGTTCATCTCGTTGCGTAAACGGAAAACGTCTCTTTTCAATTTCATCATTTCCCTTTCTTTTTCAACAGCTGATAAGGGATCATCAAATGATTTTGTTTTGGGTATACCTGAAATGTGAAGAACATGAGAATACTGAGAAAAAATGGAGAAAATGATTTTTTTTTGAGAAGTATCACCTGCGGTAGGTAATTAGATATGCAAGCGCGTTGGGTGTCTTTTAGTGTTCATGATTTGTGTTTTCAACTTTTTTTGGAGGTGGAATTAGAATACTGACAACGTAGAAAATTGAATTTGTAATTTTTTTTGTTTACAAACAAAAAATATGGGTATAAGCAACTACCATTAATATCGTACCTCGGTATTATTGTCTATTCAAAATAATCGCGCGGGTGAACGAGTAAAAAAACATCTAGAGAATCTCCAAACCCGTAGAGGCGCTGTAGAGACGCAGGGTTTTTACTCGTTCACCCGTGCGAGTGTTTTGAATAGACAATAATTTCCTTTAACCCATTCTTGATATTTTTTGTTTTATAATGGAATTTAGGTGATTAATCAAAAACATTGAACTACAACGAAAAAGAGCAAAAATTCATACTTTAGAGCTACGGTATCAAAGAATATTATAAAAACTGCTGTGGTTTTCGCTTAAAAGAGACGAGACAGCAAAAAGTTTGGGCAACAGTTTGGGCGACGAAATCTCTTATGTAGGCCATCGATCGCCTTCGCGCCCCCGTAGCTCAGCCGGTAGCGGCGTTGTACCCTTGAGCTGTCCAGCATGATTTCAATTCCTCATGGGGGTTCTCTAGGCAAAGTATCAGGAAAACTTTTTTTCTTGATGTCAGGCCTCCTTTAAAGATCGACGGTGAGCTTTTAAAAAATAGGCCGCTCACCCTATCCATCATTCAAATCTTTGCTCCTTTTCAACAAATCGAAAAACTAGTTTTAGAATTTTCCGTACATTTTTAAAATTCTTGTTTGCAAGTCTATAGTTTTGTTAAAATCTTTTTTCAGCTATTCTAAACGTTTGATTCTTGTAAAATTCAAAAATTAATGCTTTTCTGGGAATCACTGGATTTGATGTTTCTGAAATTCATATTTTCCCAGTTGTGGTCGAAAAATTAGCTTTGAACCGAAGTTCACCACGTTCAAAGTATCAAGAAAAGTTCAGGAGTTTTTTTCTCAACTTTCCCTAATTATAAGTGTACCTATCCAATTCTGACGCCTTTTTAAAAATCATATGTCTACTAAAAACCGGTTTGTATCATTTTCTCACCATAAATGAACGGAAGTTTTGTTGTTTTAACTTGCTCGGTTGTCGAGCTGATTTCTAACATCGCTTGCTCCGCTTTAAGATTCCTTGTTATTTCTGCTGATATCTGAAAAATAACGACGGCTGAAAATTAAGCTAAATTAAAAAAAATTACACCCACTTCTTCCGGCTGACGCAAGCTTTTAATCGGTGTCATTGACATTGTTATTACTGGTTCCTCGTTCAGTGGCAAACTTCCAGGATTTATAGATGCAGGCACAAATTGTTGAATTCCTGAAGTTTTTTATTTATAAATCACAAAAAATTAGATTTCACCCGGAAGAAATCGTTTTGATTTTGAAATCTCAAGTGGATCCTGAGTGGTTGTTGATGTGTGATCCATATCGTTCTGAAGTGGAAGGGGTAGATCAACTATAAAATTTTTTCCAACTCACATGATGGCGGCGTAGAGGTTCCAAGTTTTTCTTATATACCGGCTGTAGATTTGGTTTTAAACTATTCCATTTTTCCAGTTTGTCCTTTTCATAATAATCCTGAATCTTTCAACTCACTTATTCACCGCGATTCTCTTACCTTAATTTCTTGATGAGTGACATTTACAGGTTCTGCTTCTGGCAGTGCAACATCTTCATCGTATACAGTATTCTCATTTGGATTAGGAGGAGGAACTGATACAGGGAAGAACCATCCGCCAACTGTTAGCTGTGCTGAAATGGATTGGCCTGAGATATATCCAGGTAAAACTACCGTAAACTTTTTAGATTAATGTGCTCCGAACCGTCAACTTTGAGCCTGTACATCTTATTTCCTGTGAAAGATATCAAAACGTGGTCAACTAACAAAATTTTCTTCATCAAATACAAAATCTTTCGTTGGTTAATCACTTTTTGCTATCTTTTACAGAAAATGAGATAAATTGAATCAAAAACAAAAGCAAGGAGGTCCATTTTATTAGACTGTTTTAGACTGTTTATTAGACTTTATTAGACTGTTTACATTTTATTAGACAGTTTTTTTTTTGTTATTTGATTTTTTTCACCTATCTTGAATTACCAAAACGAAAAAAAATAAAGCAACGATGTGAATATGAGAAAAAAACTTACCAGCAACTGTAGATGGGAATATCATTAATACCAAAAGAAACATGTTCCTTCAAATTCTTGAGTCAAGAATGAAAACTTGTCCGTCAAGATCAAATAGTATCCAGCTGTGAGCTCATCAAATGGATCTGGGTCAAGATCCGGAACTAGGAGACAGAATGACAAATGAATGAGTCTAGATGAACAAACACCAAGAACAGAATGGAATAATTTAAGTGAGAAAAATAACGAAAACGACTGGAAATGCAGAAAATTGGGAAAAGGGGAAGAAACAGGAGAAGAAGGAGAGAGTAATTGATGACGTTGACTGAGTGGATCGTTTTCGTTTTGTATGTTTCAAGCACTCACTTTTCTCACTCCTTTCTTCTTCCGCCATTCTCCCACTTTCACTTTAGCTTGATGTGTTTTTTTTTTGAATTCGACTTTTATTTTCCAGAGTTGGCAAATATGACAACGTGTCAAGGGATTGATGTTTATCCATATGTTTTTCTTAGAGTTCTTACTATATTTTGGCATTTTCAAGCACCATTCAATTTTTATGCATTTTACTGTATTGTTTTTGTTTCTCCGAAAATTATGAAATCTTTCCGGTAACCTTTTTTTGGTATACTTGAAACGAAAACTATTATTTCAGATGGCACTTGCTGCTTTACCAATGCTCTACTACTTTTCTCGATTTCACATTTTCAATGGGCATGACACCAGTCGTCATTCCAGCTATGCCACTTGGGTACACCGTTGGATTATTTCGGGGTTTTTTGAATTGTCATCAAATGTTGACGCTCTCATTGATATGTATGACCACTTCCGCGTCCACTACTGTTGAAATTTTCTTTTGGCGATGGCAGAATATTATTCTACCCAGCTCTAGGTAATATTTTAGTTCCTAAGGTAGAAAACGTTAGTGAACAGAAGTTACCGTAAACATTCCAATGGAGTTTCCCCTAACTTTCAACTTTGAGCTAATGTATCTCAATTTGAGTTAAAGATATCAAAACGTAGTTAACTGACAAAATATTGCTGATATTACGATGAATATTTTGTCAGTGGACCACTTTTTGTTATCTTTTATTGAGGATGAGCTATTTAGATTCGAAATTCCCGGTTTGGGGGACATACCGTTTGAGTGTTCACAGTAATACCCCCAAGAGTTTTTGTGGAAATTCAAAGTTTTGTTTCTAAAACATTTCCTTTTAAAAAGTTGCCTTGAAAGTTGCCGAAAGGTGTTCATGGTTTTTCGTTGTTGGAGTATTTCAATTTTCACCTTTTCCCAAATCTGCTAGAAAAACTTTTCCAAACAAACAAAAATTCTAAATTTGATAAGTGAACTGAATACATTTTCAGCCTCACATTCAAGGTTCAGAACTTCAGGTATAAAAGAGACACTTTCCCAAAAACATTATATGATACTTACAGTGAAAAAAAAACGTATGAGAAACTCACAAAGATCAGCAAAAAAAATTTTTACAGCTTAAAGCTTAGGACAATTACCTACTACGGCATCTGGTTGTTTGCTCTATCATTACTATTTTCAAGTCTAGCACTAATCCATATTCACCTAGACTCTGATCAAATGCTTCTGAGGTTTAAGCTCCAAGAAACCTATTCATGTGCAGATTTTTTGTTTCAACAGCCTGGTGTGTATATCTGTGAAGCTTCTCGATACATGTGGGTAGTCATATATGGAGTTATCTCTTGCAGTGTTGGCGGTTTTTTTCTAGTACTTTTTGTTTATCAGTCTCTACACGCAATTAATCAAATGGCATCAAATCGCAGTGTCCATGCAAGAAATGTTCAAAAAAAACTAATTTATCTGTTGTGTGCTCAGATGATGTTCCCAATGGGAGCTTATGCTATTGGTGGTACCACAATCGTGATCAGCCTATCCATGCAATTAGTTTGGATGCAACGTAAGTTTCCAATTTTGAATAGAAACCAAAATGTATTTAGAAGCCTTTAACTTCGCTATCTTAATATTCTCCAATTATGGTTTTGCCGCTTCACTGTGTTTGATTATTTGCAATGAACCATACCTTCGTCACACAAGAAAATTAAGCAGCTGCGGTAAGCTACCAGGCTTTATTAATTAGTTTGCCATCATTAAATTGCAGAGTTTTTACCAGCTAGTTGTTCGGGAAAAGCAGAGTTTTGCTTAAAATGTAATAATACATCTTTAAATAAAATTATTACTTTTTGTTTCAGATATAAAAAGCAGAAAGAAGAACTCTGCTATTGTTCGTGTTATCGACAGGAGTGTTGTTTTAACATAGTACGTTTTCATATGCTTTTAAAATAAATTCCTCCAATTTCAGTGAATTTTTGAGAACTTCAAAACAATTTCATTTCTAGAGAGTTAGAGATTGGTAGAAATTATCTCTAATTGTCTCCAATTTTGAATCCAATTTTATCATACTTGCTAAATCTCGGCCCGGCCCAGGCTGAAAAAAAATTATCCCGGCCCGAGTTCCGAATATTTCAAAATTTTTCTGTTAACTTTTAATACATTTTTGTCATAATAATCATTTTAAAGCACGAAATTCATCTCAAGACCCTTCTTAAACTTGAGAACAAAGAAATTCTAATAAATTGTTTCCAAAAATTCAGTTTTCCCTCAAAAAATGACTCTTAAAAATTTTTGTCTGAAAACCCCTGGCCAGCCGGGCCGGGCCGGGCCAGTACAAATTCCTCCACCGGCCCGGCCCGCGACATGTATGAATTTTATTGATTCGATAAATCATCTTCCACTATTTAACAATGAATTCCAAGTTCTTCGGTTTTGAAAAAAACTATATTCTAATGTCAGAAATCGAATTTTCGAA